TGGAACCACTGCAGGCTCGATTCCAGACTGTGGCAATTAAGCCAGTGTCGCAGTCAAGTGCCCCGGCATCTTTCTGATGACGGAGGGTCATGCCTTCGGCTTGTAAAAACACAACACCTGTGAAGCACAGAGGGTGAAGCACAATAAGAGGAGGTGTGCCTGTATGTGTGGGGCTCCGGCCAGGGATTTGAATTCGGATGGTAGGTGGGGCTGGACACTGGGTGCTTGTTTTTTCCCCCAAGTCCCCCCAGGTGATTCCAGCTTGTAGCCAGGGGTGAGAAGCACCCGTGCATAATCACTCCTGAAACCATTTGAGGAATCAGGGGGAATTAGACTCCGCTAAGGACTTCGGGAGGGGAAGGAGGCGCCAGGTGAGGGGGGTTGGGGAGGACACGGGAGCAGCAGCAGAGCCTTACAGACAGTGGGGCGCAGCTGCCGCCGCCGGGGAGCCACCAGCCTGGAGCGGAGTTTCCGGGAGCAGCAGAGGCCTGGGCAGGTTGCAGAGACACCAGGGGAGAGACGGAGGCAGCCTGGACTGGGGTGAGACCTGCTTCGATGTTGCTGTTCTTTGCTGAGTGAGATGAGGAGCTGGAATCACTCGACTTTGGTGGTCACTTGGGCCAGGGAGGCAGGCATCCCACAGCCCCCAGGGGGTCTGTCTCAGCCAAGTAGAAATGACTCCAGAAAGTGACTAGACTGCAGCCTGGAGTGGAAAGAGCTCCTCCTCCAGCTCCTCCTTTCAGGCCTCGGGGGCAGCAGGAGCAAGCAACACTGGCCCTTGTCGGGTCCAGGACCTGTGTGTGGTCAGCAGGGGGTTTTCTTTGGTCAGCAGGTGCTCAGTGAGGGTCTGGGCAGGTTCCCTTCTAGCCCGTCCATCTGGACGTCTGTGCTCTGATTTTCAAGCCCCAGGCCAGTGGGAACTGGCAGCAGGTCTCCCCCTCTGAGCACCTCTCCCCGCTCCGCCCGCAGGAGGCCACAACGAGGCAGTTCACATTAGCGTTAGCGTACAGACTCGGGGCTCACTGCGGGCTGGACAGTGCTCTATGCACTTCCCACGTGTGGTGTCATTTAATCCTTACAACATCCGTGAGGTGGGTGGTGGGACCATCCCCATTTCCCAGATGAGGACACTCAGCCACCACAGGCGACCCACCCAGCCACACACAGGTCAGCCAGGATTCACATGCAGGCATCTGGTGTGGGGAAGATCAGGGCAGGGCCCAACTGACGCACCAAAGCAGTGAGTTGCTCAGGGTGCGGAGAGGTTCCTAGGGGCTGGAAGACTTTGGGGGGAAGGTAGCCGTGTGCTGAGCCCTGCCTGGAGCCTGGGTCGGCTCTCTGGGAGCAGAGGGGCTGGAGAGAGGACCTGGCAGGGGGCCCAGAGGGAGCAATGGTGCGAAAGTGCGGACCGTGCACCTGTTTGCACGATGAGGAGCAGGAGCAGAGGCCCGGGAAGGATGGTGGTTCCACGGTGGGTCAGCCTAGTGGGCTGGGCTGCGTTCTAAGGCAGGCTACAGGGTCAATGGTGCTCTAAGCTCAGGGGCAAAGTAATGGGCACTAGGGCCCAGGAAGTCTGGAGGAAGCTTCAAGCCAGTCCTGCCTGGAACTAACCGGGCAGCTGGATTGGGGCTGCAGGAAGTTCCCCCTTGGTTTGGCCTTGGCTTTCACTTTGAGCTCCTGGACATTGGTGTGGCCTCTAGGTTTAAAAAAAATGCAAGTGCTTCTGACAAGACTGAACCCAGAAAGCAAAGGTGCTGAAGTCTGAGACTACTTTCTGTGGCCTGTTTGATGGATGGCCTGTGGGACCCTCACCCCTGTGCTTTGGCCCAGCTGGCCCCCTCTGCTCCCACTCGGCTTTGCCAGTTTATCCAGCAGGCTGGCCCAGACCAAGCGTGGAGCTCTGCTGGCCTCTGGCAGTGTCTGGGCAGGCCCCTCTGTGTGTTTGGCCTGCAGGTATGGAATGGGGGTGTTGTGAATGTCGACTCTGGGGGCTGTCAGGGCTGGAAGGAGACCAGTCCCACTAGAGGAGCCTGTTTTTCTGAGGGGGATTGGTAAAGACAAAGGGGACCCACCTCATCCTCGGTAGGACGCAGCCCCCGGGCCCAGCGGCGGTCGGTGCCCACACTCGAAGTCACAGTCAATGAACGACAGCTGTGGGAGGGCGTGTCCACAGGTGGCCACCCCCGACTCTCTCCCTCTGTGCAGGCCGCTGCCTGCTGGGAGGGGGCGTTTACTTCCCCTCCCCTCGAGTTTGGCTGGCCCCCTGGCTATTTTGATCAATAGTTACAAACACATCAGCTGTGGCAGAAGTAACATTCTGGGATTTCTCAAATCTGACCTTAAGTGACCCAAAGGAAGCCCTGCTTCCTTTCTCTTGAAACGCGCCTTCAGGGAAGCACCAGCAGCCACGTGGAGAACTGAGGTCCCGAGCCAACTGCCCCATCGAGGCTCCCAGCTAGTGTCAGCCATGTGAGTGAGCCCACGTGGGGCTTCCCAGTGCCCTGGCCGACACCAGATGGAGCAGAGCTACCTGGTTAACCCAGAGAGCCATGCAAAACAGTAAGTTCTTGTTTTAAGCCTCTAGGTTTTAAGATAGTTGGTTACACAGCAGTAGATGCAAGAAACAGCAAGTCTTCAGTCTCTCCTCTCCCTGAAAATTCATCTTTCTCATAAAAGAATCTGGCCAAGTAGGACCCACCCTGGGGAGTGACTCGGTTCATAAGTCCTCTGACCCCTGCCTGGTAGATGTCCAACTGTGCAGTAGCCCCACAGTGAACGCTGACTATCCACGGCAGCAGGGTCAGGGTCAGGGCAAGGGCAAAAGTCCCCAGGGCTACAGCTGCTTAGCGGTGGTGCTCCCGAAGCCTCCTGCCTTGTTTTGGGGCCTCCGAGGGGCCAGATTTCATTTAGCCCGTGACCCACCCACAAGCTCTGCCCAGCCCCGTGAGCTGCACGGCCACCTGTGAGCACTTTGTTAGGAGGAAGCACCTACGTGTGGAGGAGTCGAGACAAGGTAGCTGATAAACATGCAGGAGGGGATGAAAGAGAAAAACCGAACTGCACTGACCCTAACAATGAAAAGCAAGCTTAATTTAAATGTCAACAGATGTGGCCACATGCTATTCCAAGGTTTCAAGCTGTGTTTACTCTTTTCTCCTATTAACACAGCCTTAATCTAGAAGCTTTTGTGCTGGCAAAGAGACCGTGAAACTTGACCAAAGGGGCAAGTGTCAAGTTGCTGCTCCACCGGAGGAATAAGGGTCAAGCCAGCATTTCGCTCCCCTGCTAACTTCGGCAGTGAATAATGAAGAGAGTTGTTCCACGTTTAACTAATGCAGGGCTGCGGCTCATAGCTAACTGACGCTCCCATTTTGTGCCTGAGGAGACAGGCCAAGTGCAGGTCCCTGCTGGGGGCACGGGGCACGGACCTAGCCACACCCAGCATCTCAAAGGTTTTAACTATTCCGTGCAAATGACACCGCCCTGCAAACCTACAACCAAAAGGTGCGTTAGCTCTATGTAACCTAAGTCCATGAACTATTACTGCTACATAATGAACCACCCGCAAAGTGCAGTGGCCTGCAACAAGAACGATTTATTATTTTCACGATTTTATGGCAGTTCCTCTGCTGGGTACACAAGGAGCAGCAGTCAGCTGAAGGGCAGCTGGGCAGTAAGGGCCGAGGTGGCCTCATGTATGTAGTCTGGCAGGTGGTGCTGGCTGTCAGCTGGGAAGCCCCTCGTGGCTTCTTGTCCTGCAGTCGCTAGACTGTCTTCCTCACTCGGTGGCCTCAGGACAGGGTGCTAACACAGCGGACGCAGGAGCCATAAGGTCTGTCTTGAGACCTAAGTTTCAGAATCTATACACCATCACTTTGACCACATTTTATTGGGCGAGGCAAGCCAGATGGCCAGCCATGTTCAAAGAGGAGAGAAATAGACTCCACGTTTAGACGGGAAAAGCAGCAAAGAATTTGTGACTGCACTTAATACCTCCGGAACTTCCTCTCCTTGATTTCCCTCCCTAGTACTTACCACTCTCCAATATGCTACATATTTTGATTCGTTATTTAAACATGGAAGCGCATGAAGGCAGGGATTCATGCTCCTTAGTCACTGATATAGCCCCAGCACCAAGAACAGGGTCTGGCAAGTATTAGGTGCTCAATGAGGGTTTGTTTAAGGAAGGAATAGCAGGATACTTCTACCACTGCCCCGCATGAAGGTGCCCATGGCCTGATTCTTGCCCACCGGGAGCTCTGTGCTCCAGAACCAGCGCATCTTTGTCAATGCAAAAGCACTATGTTAGCACTATGTAGCTTAGTGGACTGAGCGTGGGCTGCGAACCAAAGGGTCACCAGTTCGATTCCCAATTAGGACACATGCCTGGGTTGCAGTCCAGGTCCCCAGTGGGGGCCACATGAGAAGCAACCACACATTGATGTTCCTCTCCCTCTCTTTCCCCTTCCCTTGCCCCCACTCTAAAAGTGAATAAATACAACCTTAAAAGTGAATAAATACAATCTTTAAAAAATACATTTAAAAAAGTGCTATATTAAAACAGAAGTTAGACCATACACTTACAGCTGCTTACTCCTGCTTACTCCTCCTACCAGTAAGGACAAATCCAGGCGCCTGGGCCTGCCCAGCTAAGGAGTAGACATGGACGGACCCCATGGGTCCGTAGACATAGACATGGACGGATCAGTGAGCAACCCAAGTGCAGCCCAGGGGCGGCCGTGACTCATAGCAGGTGGGTCAGAAAGCAAAGGATTCAAGAATTATCTACATTTTTTTAGTGTTTTGGGGGTATTTTGTTAAAAATTGACTTTATTTTTTAGAGATGGTTTAGGTCCGAAGTGAAATTGAGTGCAGAGCACAGAGTTCCCATATCACCCTGCCCCCACCACACACAGCTTCCCCGCCCTCTGCATCCTGTGCCTGCGCAGTACACCTGCTACAGCGAGGAATCCATCAGCCCTGAAGGACGTGGGAAATGCTCACCCTACAACTGTGAGCGAGGACACTCAGGACACCCTGGGATATACAAATGCAGAAACAAGTCTGACTCTCCTGCAATTAAAAAAAAAACATCATGTGCCACTGAAAAGGAAAAATATTGCCAATGAAATGTACGACTCCATCACCTGTGATCAGTTGTCACCTCGATTTCCAATTTAAAATGTGAGAAGAACATACGCTTCAGAACGAATGAATTAGTGTGTGTTATACACAAAAGAAGACAGGCTGCGCTCTGGTGGTATGATCACGTGTCCTTCAAACCCTCCGATTTTCTTTTGGGTATACATATCCAAAAGAATTGAAGACAGGATCTCAGGATATTTGCACACCCATGTTCATGGCAGCATTACGAGAGCCAAGAGGTGGAAGTACACGGAATGCCCATTGTGGGATGCCACTGGGCCCTGAAAAGGAAATCATGGCATGTGACGAACTGGGTCAGCCTTGAAGACATTATGCTAAGTGGCATTATGCCAGTCACAAAAAGACAAATTCTGGAGGGTTCTACTTATATGAAGTACCCTGAGGAGTCAAACTCCTAAAAACAAAGTAGTTGGGGGTGGCCAGGGGCTGGATGGAGCAGGGAGCTGCTGTCAGTGGGTATCAAGTTTCTGTTTTGCAAGATGGAATGTTCCAGAGCTCTGTTGCACGGCAATGTGCAGATAGTTAGTGCTACTATGCTGTACATTTAAAGGTGGTTAAGATGGTAAATTTTCTGTTATGTGTTTCTTACCGCACACAAAAATAGCTTTCCTGAGTTTTTCCAAAGCACCACAATCTATACTTTTAAAAATGTTCTGCAAATAAGGGTGAATGGCTGTGACAGTGGCAGGGTGGGCAGTGGCCCAGCGGGTCTGGTTTGTGTCCCCTCCCTGGCTGCGGTGTCCAGGAGGCGGGGTCCAGAGGGAGGTTGGCGGCTGGCCCCGCCCACCCTGAGAGGAGGGCTCTTCCTCCCCGACCCACCCGCTCGCACCTCTGCTAGAACTGATGCTTTGACCAGGGGTCAAACCATGATGGGAGGATCTAATTTCCTTTTCTTTGCTAATTACAAAAAAAAAAATCTACACAAATATACAGTATCATAAACATTCATATTTTCACTATTTCAGTGCTTTGGCTCTTTCATAGAACGAAAATATTACCAATGAAATTTCCTACCCAGTCTCCTTTATATGCATTTTACTTACTCCCTACTTTGTTTTTCCTTCTACTTTAATAAATGGTGTGTCTTGTCCTACATCCTGCTTTTTAAAATTACCTGTGCTCTGTGCCGCTCATCACTGCTTTGAATCTAGATCATGCCTTTTAATGGTGACCTACTGTTCAAGGTGTGGACAGACTCCGGTTCTTCCGTTCAGTTCGCCTCTGGTTGTCCACTCCCCCTGCCACTGTGGTCAGGAGCACCTCGCAGGGGTCTGTCTCCTCGTGCGCCCACGTGGGATCCTCCCGGGCAAAGCAATCTTGTCTTAGAGGGCATTTATTCGGAGTCTCGTGCACAAGGCCAGTGCCAGGGGTCGAAGGGCAAGGCAGAGCGAAAGCAGCCCGGGGAGGGCCCCTCCTGCGCGCAGGGTCAGTGAGGAAGGGTCACCTTCCCTGGCTCCTGCGGCCTGGCCCCCAACCGCCCCGAGTCCCTGCACCTTTCTCCGCGGACCAGACCCGTTCATGCTCGCACCCTCCTCCTTGTCCCCTTGCCTCCCCATCTACTTGGCCTTAGCTTGCACTGCTCGGTAACCTGCGGACCGGATGGAAATGACCCGGCCAAGGTCACCCGGAGCTGCGGCTCACGGAGCTGGCAGAGACGCCAATGCGGACAGACGCCCGGCCTGGCTCGTCGGGGTCCGCGGTCGCCACGGAAGCGCTGTGGTAACAGGCTCCGGTCTCGGGTTTTCCGCACTTTGCTCTCGGCCTCACCTCCGGCTCCGCGGACACCGCGCCCCTGGGGGCGCTGGCGGCAGGGGGAGGCCCGCCGGGGCTCTCAGGCACTGCGGGTTCGGACCCCACCACCAGCAGGATGTGGGGCCCGGCTTCGGCTTTGGTGGGAAGGAAAGGGGGTTCCCGGCAGGCGGGTCTGGAGGGGCGGGTAGCCGGGGCGGGACCGGAGGCGGGGCGTCACCCCTCTAGCGCCGGCGCCACCTCCCTTCCACTGAGAGTTTCGAGCAGCTGCTTGGCTGTCAGGCGCGGTGGCCAAGTGGTAAGGCGTCGGTCTCGTAAACCGAAGATCGCGGGTTCGAACCCCGTCCGTGCCTGGTCCTTGAGGTTGGGGCTTGGCAGCGGGGCCTAGTGTCCTACGTGCATTCCCCACCTTCTGCTGCTTGGCTTTTTGATTTTTTTACTTTTTGGATTTTGTTCAGGCGTGCTCTGGGGTCACACAGCACTGTAGCTTCTCCCTGCAGCCCTGCTTCCCCAGCCGCCCTGCCCAGGGCGGACCTCTCTGGGGTCCCTGCGTTACTGGTAGTGACACTGGTGCCCGGGGTTGAGCAGCTTGGGCACCGGAGTAGCTAGCATGGGCACCGGAGTAGCTGGCAGGGCGGGGGCGGGCCCGGGGCGGCGGCCGTACTCGTTTTGCAGGTCTTGAGGGTGGGAGGACTTCCTAGAAAGGGCGTTTGAGTTTCTGGAGATGTTTCGCCGTTTCTGTTCGGTCCTCGAAAAGTGAATTAGCACTACGCTTGCCCCCTGACTTTTTCTCTAGGCCAGGAAGCCAACAGCGTTTAGCTGGTGGGCGCTTATTCCTTTCCCAGCCCTTGTGAACGGAGCCTTTGGGTCTGGCCCCCGGCCAGCCGTGGCGCCCCTCAGGGCACCTCTGGGATAAGCTGCCCGATTTAACACGACATTGTGTCGAGTGCCTCCCATTCTCGATACACACTCCAGTCTGACTGTTTCCTTCCTCAGTCCTGACACTTAGCACTGAACATACTGCTGCGTATGTAATCTCATTAAGGGAACTGAACCTCCCTCATTCTATATTCCATATTTCTGTTAATGTGACCAAAAGTCACATTACCTTTCTGGAGCCCCCGTTGTGCAGGGCCCCACAGGGAACTTCCAGTGGACTGAGAGTCAGCAGAGACACTTTGGAACTAACTGTGTCTAACTAAGGTTTATCAGAAGGTAGGATGTAGGGCTCAAACAGCAGGGAAATGTATTGCTTGTTTCCTTAAGGTTCCAATAAATAGAAGAGATGCTCTTGGTTTTTTAAGGGAATGCTGAGCTAGAGTGTCACTGTCATCATGGAATTGTCCCTAAATGCCAACAAAGGCAGATTCCAAATATCCAGGGTAGGAAGGGGAAATGTCCTGAACCATTACCGGATATTGCCTTATGTCCTATGCTTTAAATTGGATTACCGATCCTCGGAGTTCTGAGGCCGGACATTGGGTTTTCAGCGGTAGCTAGAGGAGAGAATTCCACTCCAGCAGATGAGGGTGAATGAACCAGGCCAAAGTCAGTAAAAGAGGATCAAGGTACAGAAGTCAGCATACAGATGTTGGGGGAAATATGGGCCCCCAAAGGTGAAGGGCCAGAGGTAGAGGTCATGTATGGATCCCAGGCCCTGGTCAGATACAAGCACCATAGTGAACAGGGGAGCAGAGAGGTCTTGTGATGACCTCTCAGGCCTTTGCAAATCAACACTCACCCCAATGGGGCTGGAGGTAGGTTAGTGGCCTTCAGGGGTGAGGGCGGAGGCAGAAAGAGACCCTGTGTTGAGTTACTCGCACAACCTCTATTAAAACACTCACATACTCTGGAGTTCGGCTTCCTCAGTTGCAAATCTCAAAAGTTGAAAAAAGTGTTTCCTAAGTGCCTTGTGGGCTGCAATTCTACATTTCTGCCTCAGACCCTGGGCCTTGGACAAGCAAAGAGGCCTCTGGCTGCAACATCCGTTTCACTCATGGGTGCCAGGCTGGCGAGTCACAATGACCCGCTTCACAGTGGGGCTTGGTCACTGCCACTTCATGAGGGGATCTCTGTGACCCTGGCTCCCCTTCTGGAGAGTTACGGTCAGCACTCCCTGATGGGCAGGACTAGAGCTGCAGAGGCCCCACCTTCTGCCAGTTTCCCCTTGTTCCCGCTGCCCCTGTGGCTGCCCCCCAGGGTCCAGGACAGAACAGGGTGCCTCTGGTATCGCAGTTGGAGACCCACAGGGGCAGGCACGGCCATCGTGGGCAGCCAGAACCTCCAGGGTATTTTTGAAAATATAAACTATTTTAGGTTGGGCCTCTTCCTTCCTGGGAGTGAATATTATTTAACTCATTCTGGGCGCAGAATTTGGCAAGTGCATATAATTTGCCTCATACTGTCAGTTTCAGTCCCGTATTCCATCCCGGAGAAATAAGTCTCGTGTTTCACAATTACATCTATTCAAAAGCCACACAAATCAAGCGACTGTCTTAATTATAAGAACACCAGCCAGGTTAGGGAACTTTGCCAGACACCCCAGAAGCCTCTTTCACTTGCGCCCCTCCCCAGTCACACTCCCCAGAGCCAGAAGTAGCCATGTCCCCTATTTTTATAGTGATCACTCCTCACATTTTTTTACTCATCACCTAATCGAGCATCTGCTCATCTTTATACCTATGGTTTAACTTTGCTCATTTGGAAAACTGATCTATCTTTCAAGCATTATTTCAATGGCTAGGATCCTCTCCTCTTTCAGTTCCTGGCAGCGCATCAGTGAGGAACCTGGCCCATTAACCTGTGCGGTGTCCCGTAATCTAGACTTCGCTGCCGGCAAGCTCTTGGTGCAGCTCCACCGGCTCCTCTGTCCTCCTTGGCATTTCCTGCAAATTAGCAGCTAACCAGACAGTGGAGCAGAGTCGGGTTCAATCCCTTTGAAAAGACTCAGGACTCCTCTCCCCCGAGAAACCTCTGATTCCTCCAGGTAATGAGTCAGCTTCTGGTCTGGGACCGCTCTGTGTGTCTCACGCCACAGCTGGGTGGCACTCAGGGCTGGGACAGTGTCTCACTCAGGTCTGTGTTGCCAGCATCTGGTTCAGAGACACAGAGAGGCCCCTACCTGAAAGCTTGGGGAAGTCCCTGAGGAGGTGACTTCCAGTCTGGGCTCGGGAGGATGAACAGGATTTGGGTATTTCTGCCTTCCTTCAATCATCTTTTTTTTTTTAAGAGGTTTTTTTTTTTTAAAGATTTTATTTATTCATTTTTAGATAAAGGGGAAGGGAGGGAGAAAGAGAGGGAGAGAAATACTGATCGGCTGCGTCTTGTGTGCCCCCAGCTGTCAGGGCTCAGTCGCCTTTGACTCTGAAATGTCGTGGCCTCGGCCACGGCCCAGCAGGCAAGGGTGCTTTTCCGCCTCCCACAGACTTTCTAACATTGCACATAAAATGGAATTTTGAACTAAGAAACAGACGCTCACTCTCTGTAAATAGTTTTATTAGCAAACACTGAAGGCCTAAAGCCATCCTTCCAGACGAAAGTTACCAGTTAGGAACAGAAATCATCCAACCTCCGCTTCCACAGCCACAGAAACAATGGACAGGAGGCGATTTATCCAGGGTCATCCAGAAGCTGTACCATTATCACACAGAGTAAGCTCTTCCGCAGGGCAGAGGAGCACAGATCGGTGCGGGACAGTCATCTTCATTATTACTTGATGGCTCACCTCTCTGCCAGCCTGTGAGCTAAGAGCCACTTCACTCGTCCAATTTTCACGAGGATAGATGGATGGGAGGAGCACATAGTGACTGAAGCCACCAGGCCTGACCGCAGTACGCAGGCTGTAGAGGCCGGGGAGGGGCCAGGTGAGACCCTTACTTTTCCTGGACCAAGTGCCCACTGGAAGCCTTTCAGAGAATGCCCAGGGAGATGGCGGGGACTAGGGGCCAGTGGGGCTCTGTGTGACCGGCCTTCCCAGGAGTGGCCCACCACCCTCCTAGCCCCACTCCTTAGGGTACGTTCAGAGGGCGCAGCCCAAGCAAGCAGAGAGTCTCTCACCACCTGCCCCTCCCCACCTCCCATCATGCAGGAAAACTGAACACAGTTCTGCCTTAGCCTTGCTGAAACATTATTACACCTAGAGAGAATGGGCTTCTTGCTGGGGAGTTTACCTCTCTGCAGCTGCTTACCTGCTAGAGAGGTGTCCTTTCAAGTAACCTATGTAGGTAAATAAAGGGTCTCTTTAGGCTGGCCGAAATATGAAGGTCATTGGCAAAGTTAGAAACTTCAAAAACTTCTCTTCCTGCATTTGTGTAATAGTCAAGCTGGGAGAAGTTTGAAAAATCACATACCAGTTTTGCCACTGATGAAACAAAGGCCCAGAGGCAGCGATAACTTATCAAAGGCTACAGAGGAGCCAGGGGCTGAAACGGGCTCGAAACCCCGATAAGACCAGCAATACCAGCGGTGTGACCTTTCTGCAGCGAAGATGTTATTCCTGGCATGACTTTCCCCTGAGCTCTGGGGCCTCTCCCTCTCTCCTAGCCACCTGGGCTCAGAGACACAAAATCCACATAAGTTGCCATTTGGGCAAAATTGGCTGAGAAAATGAAGCCTGTGAATTCCACATATAAAATACTCCAGGTTACTTACAGCCCTTTCCTCCCTCTGGTCACCAGGATCCCTGTATCTGAGCTCTTTCTGACGGACAGCAGGAACCCAGCACAGCCCTGACTAGAGAAGTGGCATCTGATAGGCTGGAGGGTCCCAAGGAGGAAGCAGAGTGGAAAGGGCACAGACCTGGGGTGGATCTTTTCAAATCCCCAAGCCCAGTGTCCGCAGCAGTAAACCAGGGGTTCTCCTCCCTTCTACTCCACAGCACTTTGCCGTGTTGCTAGAGCTGTAGCAGATGTTCATGGTGGGCGCAAGGTCAACACTGTACTGCGGCGTCGATATTTAATGCCTTGGATGGTGTGGGCACCAGAGGCTACTGCAAATGTTGAGCCTGTGCGGGAGGTGGCCACCGTGTGAGAGGGAACTGGGCAAATCAACAGGTGTCGGCAGGAGTGCCCCTGTCTGTGGGGGCAGCCAATCCCGACCAGTCACGGCAAAGCTGGGTTCTCAGCAAACAGTTACTGAG